ATAAATAGCGACGGGAATAATTGTCGCGACCCATTTGCGAAACGGGCAAGGGAGTTGACAAAAACCACGAGGAATGTTAAATGTTGCTGGTTTGCACCCGAAAGGAAAGTTTGGGAGAGAAATCGCCAAGGGTGGGAGATTATTTTTTTTGCAACGTTTTAATTTTTCAACTTTTCAGTCCGTGGTGCTTGGGGGGTAGGAGTGAGAGGGGAATGATATTAATAATTGTAAAAACGTCATTTAAAATACTGTAGGCATTTCACCTCCTCCATTGGAGTAGGACTCTTAATAATTCATGTGGAGTTCGCAAGGGATTTTATTTCTAGCGCTATATCCGATAGTGTTTCTATAATTGGATACCCACTTTATTGCGGATTTTGTGGCCGAAATTTTGCATAACATTGTTAATAATACAGCAATAAAATGTGTAATCATGATAGTAACAACAATGTTCAACCATTTTTCCATTCTCCTCATGCCACGTTATTTATTGGGATGTTTGACCATACTTCGCCATGCTCGTCAGTACGAGTTGATTAAGTTGGCCGGAAATCCAACTGAGGCTGCCGGATTAATAGCGCTCAGCGCAGACTACAGCACCACCACACTCCCCTCAGAGTTAATAAAATCAAGTACAGTGCATTGTTGTTCTTCCCAGTATAACTGTGAACCCGCGGCAACTTTACACTGCTAACGAAGCACACGTGGACATTAAACATTGTCGAAAGTTTATTTCGATTTAAAGCTTTCGTGACTGCAGGGATTCATCTTCTTGGTTCTTTCGGTAAAGTCACGTAGAAGGGAAGTAATAAAATAATAAAAATAAAACATAATAAAATAATTCTCACGACGTTTCGGCCACAACGTAAGCAGCCGTCCTCAGGTGAAGCTTGGTGGTGTTTCATTCTTCACCTGAGGACGGCTGCTTGCGTTGTGGCCGAAACGTCGTGAGAATTATTTTATTATGTTTTATTTTTATTATTTTATTACTTCCCTTCTACGTGACTTTACCGAAAGAACCAAGAAGATGAAAGTTTATTTCTTTTTTCAACTTGACAATGGGGGATAACCGTCACGGTGTCACCGGTCGGATTCGATCCGTAGTATTCCTCGTCCCCTAAATCGTCCACCTCTGTCCACCCAGCGGCATAAATAAGTTCACCGAGGTCAAGGAGATCGGCAAGGGCCGCATGCGGCGGGTGGGGTAAAGTGTGGACGCTCCCCAACTCGAACCGCGACGTCTGGCCCAGCGTGGAAGAGTAGGCCAAAAATACCCTCTGGATAGAGGGGGGGGGCTCTCTAGAGCTCCCTCTAGTGGAGAGGCCCCTTCCGCCAGCAGTGGCGCAGTAAAGCCATTGCAGGGGCTGCGCCCATAACCATTGTTGAAAACAACGAAGCTGCAAGTGCTAGCTTGTGCATAATCTTTATTCCCCCTTCTTAAATCTTTTGCTTTGTGGGGGGAGGGTGGGGGGTGTTCATCGCGAATTCATCAAAGACTTTGTTGCAGACTTCCAAGTCGCAAGTGACCTTCCTAAGAAGTGACACGTGTGTGTGTGTGTGCGTGCGTGTGTTCCACTTAGAGCAGAGAGTGGGGGAGTGGTGACCCAGTCAAAATGCGTTGGTCCTTTGGCTTCTCTCGCTCTCTCGCCCTCTCTGTCCTGATAGAGCGGATTGCGATGCTCGGCAGATTTCACCGCGGGATCCAGTTTCGTGTACGACTACATGACGGATTTATGGCGATGGCCATTCCAAGTTATTCTATTTAATCGAAGCCCTTGTGAATTATCTGACGTCTGCAGCGGAGACGTATTCTGAAATGGAATCGCGTTAGTTTCATCCGACTGTGTTTTTCAGCATCTGCGTGGTCGGCGCCGAGAGAATTGAATTGGGGTTTCCGAACGTAGAGTTGTAGTTTTGGTTGTGAGCTTCTTTGTTTCTTTAAATTATTTATAAGATATTTCAAGTCTCCGTGACTTTATCCTTTCTGTCAAAGTATTGCATAACCGTATAAAAGTTTTTCATAGGCTCCAGTGGAGGAATTTTTCTTATTTTTTTCAAACTAAATTCTAGTCAAACCAATAAAACGTTCAAGTAATATGATCTGAAAATGTTTATTTTTTTACAAGGAAATCAGGTTTTTAAAACTAATTCTAGCGTGCTGTAAAAAGTATAGTGCGTAAACAACGTACATTAAACTAAGATAACACAAACCGGTGAAAACAAAACTTACTGTACTCTTGGGGGGGATATACATTTCCAGTAACATCTTTACTTATTTATTAAAAGCACACAAAAAACGAAGCTCCGCCGTAAGTATTTCCGCTTGGCAAAAACACATCGGTCTAAATCAACTGTCGGCATTGACGTAAACCGGAGGGGGCTTGGAAGGAGAGGTTAAAAAAAATTGGTTGTGTGGTACGACTTCCTTAAGTCGGCTTAGGTGGGGGCATGGTGCCTCTTCCATAGGCCTGCCTGAACATAAACAACAACACGGCCGCTAACAAACAGTGCCGAGCAACTCAATAACTCAGTACTTGGGGAGGCCCAGGACCGGTCCGGATATTATCGGTCACCCGGTTTAGGCCGTGAGCGGGAACCGAACTCGGGTCGCCGGGTTCGGAGCTCAGCTCGCTAACCGCTACACAAGCGCACGCAACAAACACATACGTGTGTACGCACAAAGCCATGCAGGTTTGCGTCGCCCTGCCTTTGCAGACACGGAGGGAGCGCTGCTGGCTGGATGAGCCCCTGGGGAGATCCCTGGCTGAACCTTGTGTAGCCGCGGCGGTGGCCCCCGCTTTGTGCTCTCGTTTAGAAACATGAATTACGGCGCAAAACGGAGGATCTTGTAGCCGTGAGGCCTTTGCTCAACCCGGTAAAGGGAGGATTCGAGCAGAAGGAGGCGCCGTTCTAATTTCTTGTACATGCCGCTGCTGCTGGCACTAGGGTCTTTCACAAGAGGAGGAGGTTTGGGGGCCCTAGACAGCAGCCTATGGCTGGTATTTGGCCTACTCTTGCAGGCTGGCCAGATAATTTCATGAAAAGATGGGAGTACACACACTTTACCTCACCGCACGCGACCTGCTGATTGACACCGTGGCGTTGCTCATTTATACTGCTGGGTTGACAGACGCGGCGGTTAAGAAACTTGTCAAGTGTTTCAACTTCTTTGCTGATAGATTGACTATCGAACCAGAGGACCTCGTTTTAACTTCCCACGATTAACCAGAAACTTGTAGTCGGTGCTGCACCTCAAAATATCAAATCACAATTCTGGCGTCCCATTTTATTTTTTATTTTAGGTTTTGCCTTCAGCATCCAATGAGAGTTTATAGACAAACCCTAATAAGGAGTGCCCCGTGTTTCTTCTCAAGTCCCGCGGGGTACCGTTGGAATTTAAAAACGTATCCTCCCTCGAAGTCTTGTGGGAATTCGGCTGAATGTCAGTGGCATTTTAAAAATCTCACAAACTCATAACATTTTAAGCATCCTGTGTGCCTCTTACGAGGCTCTTGAAAGAGTAATGATAATGAGCATGAAACAGGAGGCGTTATTTCAACAACTGTTTAAAACCATTTAAAGACAGTTTAAAGCTTTTTAAGGTGCAATCATCATCGTGACTCACAAATGGTTCATTGTCTCCGCTAAGTGAACATAGCTTGATCCCTGTCAAGTGAGGAATATTTCCAATCTATTAAACATTATTCTGGCTAAATTTCGATTTAAAGCTTTCGTGACTGCAGGGATTCATCTTCTTGGTTCTTTCGGTAAAGCCACGTAGAAGGGAAATAAAGAAATAATAAAAATAAACATAATAAAATAATTCTCACGACGTTTCGGCCACAACGCAAGCAGCCGTCCTCAGGTGAAGAACAGGTCTGTCGGAAAGACAGCGTCTGAATTCAGACGCTGTCTTTCCGACAGACGCTATCTTTCCGACAGACCTGTTCTTCACCTGAGGACGGCTGCTTGCGTTGTGGCCGAAACGTCGTGAGAATTATTTTATTATGTTTTATTTTTATCATTTTATTATTTCCCTTCTACGTGACTTTACCGAAAGAACCAAGAAGATGATTCTGGCTATTAACGCTGGAGAATTCTATTTCTCTACATCCGTCGTGGGGGGGGGGGGGGGGGGGGGGGGGGGGCATAGCGAGTAGGTGCCGAGAGCGCACCGTCATCGCCGTCAATTATTTCCTGAGTTCGTGCTTTTGATATTATTGTGACGTGGCAACGGCAACCCACTTTATTGGGTCCCTGCATGGCCACGGGATGCGTATTGCCTGTCCAGATTCATTTGTCCGCGTGTCCATCGTTGCGATTGCCCATGGGCGCTAACGTAAACTGCTGACCTAAGCAAATCGAGGGTAAAAACCGTATAAAGGTTCAGCCCTGAGATTACTTGTTCCCACCACTGCGGGTTGAAGGACCTTCATGAGGGGAAGTCTGTCGGGAGGTTACCGTTAACTTGGCATTGAAGTCGCCAGAACCCGGTTCAGATACCACACCTGGCAATCCCTTATCAGTGCCCCCCACCTCATTACAGACCAATTCTGACCTTATTGGTCACCCCGTGCCCCTATAAATATCAACGTTCATCCGACAAAGTCCCATCACTAGGGAGAAACACAAACACATAGACAATGTTTTGTTGTTGCCTGTGTATTGAAACGGCTGTACGTCGTATGGACCTGAAAACTCAATTTCCCTGTACAAAAGTACGGGTAAACCGCGTGGGTTGACAGGTATGAGATACCACGAGCCACTGATCTTTGCTGTGGCCAGGAATCTAACTCGGGTCGTCATCGGGTTGATGGTGCAGTACGCTAACCACCGTGCCGCTGCTCACCTCACCTGTGGAACCCAGTCAAGAATATTATTGTTGTTAAAAATGTAACCCTTGGTTTTTGCCGAGGCCTACTTGGACACTCTATCGTTTGTGTTAATATCATGTTGGCATTGCAGGGTTTAAAATTAACAGACATCGCTCTGTTTTGCAGGAAATTCTTCAAGACTGGAGTATGATTTTCCAAGCAGACCAAAGGTACGATATTAAAAATATATATATTTATTAAGATTTGCTGCATAGCTCAGGGTAACCCCTAAAACTTCAATTTCATTCGTTATTTGGCACAATTTGAATGCAGCCCCTTGAAATACCAAAAAGCCTGGATTGTGTTCGTTTAAAAAAATGTGCATGTTTATTCCAGCTGAAAAAAATCGTAACTGTTTTGTTGTTGTACGGTGCTGTCGAGAATTGTAAATGCTCACGCAGAAAGATAAATTTGACGTTGGTATGAACCCACGTGTTTACTCACATGCACAGAAGGGGGAAGTGTTTAAGAGAGATCATTTGCTTTATATATATATACATACCTGGTGTATGTGTTCCCTCCAGAAAAATTTCCACACTCGATCCTATACGAGGTCCACTGGAAAAATGTCAACCATTTTAAAACTTTAGATTTTTTGTTGCATCGTCCGTCTCTCGTTAAATAAATATACATTTTTTTACTTCTTGTATTTTTTATGTTTTTGCAAGTAGATGTGCTCGTCGGTTTCAAACTCTACGTAGCGTAACCAAACCGATATCTCAGTGGGCCTTACTTGGTAAAATAAAAATAAATTGTTTAGTTTAGCTTGGGTCTCTCTCGGCTGGGATGGCACAAATAACCGCCCGGGTACAGTAATCGTTTTTTTGCAGAAGTGGCGGCCTACGTTTGAACCATACGGAGGAGTTGTTGTGAATAATCACAGTTGATTTTTGCATCCCATCGCCGTGTAAGTAGAATGTGTGTCGTGCACCCTCCTCCACCTGACACAGCCAATTCCTGAGACATGTTACTCACATGCGGGTTACTAATATTCTCCAAAAGGTTAAGAGAGGAGAGACTGAGATAGTTTCGGCACGTGTTGAGAAGGGACTAGGAATATCGCTTGTTGTGTATCGTGATCCGTGTTTTGTTTGGACGTTATATTTTGTCGGCAGTCACTTTCTTACCGAGTAATTAATTGGCAGGTAACTTCGACGATAGGGCGAGTTGCTTGCAATCGGGAAGGTTGCGAGTTCAAATCCTGGCTGGGAGTTGACTCGGCTCATCATCCTTCTGGGGTCGGTTAAATAGGCACCGCTTTGTTGGAAAGTCACCAGTGGTTCAAATGGATAGACCTGCTCCTGTCATAGGAACGTTGACTATGAACAGCAGATGAGTAACCGCATCAACACCCATTTGAGCAGAAACATTCCTTTGCCTGAATTGATTTAGTTTTCTCAAGCACTCATTTGCTCCGGCGGCGCGAGACGTACTGCATGGGAGGTGGGGTATGAATATTAGACGACCGGGATGATGACGACGATGGTGTTGTTTACGATAGCAATAGAAGCTGCGACAAGCTGCCATGTGCACGCGCGCACCGCAGCTTCTCCCACAGCCTCAGCCAAGCGGCACAGCAAGGAAGTTCCCCCCCCCCCCAACCTCCTCCATCTGCCCCTGCCATGAGCAGCATATTTCATTTCTGGGAGACATTCTTTCGGAGTGAGCGGTTGATTTTTAGACGTACGATCGGGGACTCCGGCATAAATCCAAGCGTCCTTAGGTCATGCTTTGTGTCGTTCCCCCTGTGCTCTCGACCTTCCCGTGCGATTGGGGGGAGTGAGCGCTCACTCGCCCGGTGAGGCGTGGTGCGCGTTGCTCCACCACTCGCCGCATCGCCACCATCGCAATGAGGCTCAACGGTTAAACAAGAGCATCCTCTGCTGATGACACACTGAATGTCGAAGCCGTTCCAGAGTTTTGGTGCGTTGAACCAATGTGGCTGAAGTTAGGTACTCCCAGAAGGCCGTGTGGCTGATGGTATGTATTAAAAACATTCTTTATTTTTATGTGGCGGGACAGATATGCGAAGGAGGAATATTGTCCGCTTATTTTTGTTCAAAGATTAAGCGAGAGCTGCCTTAAATCTGGGCCTCCTGTAGCCGCCCGCTCGCAAAACGCCGCTCTGTGTGGCGGTTGTGGTCGGGATGTTTACAATGCCCCCCCACCACCCGGCACTGCCCGACAAATGCCGAACCAACTCTCCGATGCGTCCTCGGGTTGTGCCGTGCGTTGTTCGGCACGATGTCCCACGGTTCGCCCCCAAACTGAATTCAGTTTCTGAACAAGTTTTGTTTTGTGAGAGCTAAAGGAGCAAGTACTGTTTGGGGGGCTCACCACACATTAATTCTGGGCTCTGTGCAGTCTTCCCAGCCACAAGCTGCCTTCATAAAAAAAGTCACATGTGTACATGTGGTCAACGTATATGGCGTTTTCCGCTGCCTCGCTATATTGTCGTGGAATTTCAGCGGAGGCTGCTCGGTCCGGTTGCAAAAGAAAGCACAATTCGTTTGGTCTGAGTGCAACGCCAGTTTGTTATGCTTTTCCAAAGCAAAGGTCTTCACAGCCCCAGCCTTGAACCCCATTCTTCATTTTCTGCAAACACCGTGTGATGTTTACTGCACTGTATTTCTTTGAGGTATTGCTTGTGCGTGCGTGCGTTTGTGGGGAGCGCCAGCGTGGCGGTTCGCGCGCTGCGCTACGAATCCGGCGGCCAGAGTTCTATTCCTGCTTGCAGCCAACATCCAAAATGTGATCTGGTCCTGGGCCTACCCTAGGTCGACTGGGCCTTAAATGAGTGCCGAGTGTGGTGTGTGCAAATACCGGCGCTCGGGTTTTTAAAGGTGACCGGGCGCGGTGCTGACCACCCGCCACCCCTCATGTGACGTGCCGGCATTCATAGGTGCTCGCTAACAGCACTGACCCAACAGCCCATTCAGGCTACGCGGGGGGGGCGGTTAATCTTTGTATTCTGTGTGTCAGCGTGACTCGTGGGCGGCATGCATTTTTTGTCGGCTTCCAATTTTGCTTTGACTTCGCCATGGCGCCTGCGAGCACACGCGAGCGCTTTGTAGCATGCACACTCCTCGCGTGCCGCGTTCGACGCGTGACACGCCGTGAAGCCGCACGGCAAGTGTGTAGCGCTACGGAGCGCGGTGGCATTTGAGGTCCAAGCCACGATCGCCGTGCTCGGGTTTTTTGCCGGTGGCGCGAAACGGGAACCACTTCGGTTTCTTTCGTGGCCATGCAGCGCGGTGAGCGGGTTCCTCCAGTATAAATACATATTCTGATTCTGTTTGAGACGGCCCTTTACACGCTTGCGTGTGACCCCGTTTGTGATGTCTCCCTACAAAGGCGGCCGGGCGCGGTGCTGACCACCCACCACCCCTCGTGTGCCGGCCTTCATAGGTGCTCGCTAACAGCACTTGAAGTATGTTAAGGCTATACGGGGTTTTTGTCTTTGATGTCTCCCTACGTGTTGTGGCGCGTGTGGGATAACGTCGCAGGGTCCAATGGGACTATGCAGAACATTATTGCGAATGAATGTTTTATATTACGTGGCAACTCTTTGATACTTTAATATTTTCGAAATATATTTTTGCTCCCCCCCCGCCCTTCCCCCCTGTTGGTTCCATGTCATGAGGCTCTGTGACATTTCCGTTTAGAACTCTCGCAAGCGAACAGTGAACCACTCTGAGTCCATTTTATCCATAGCAGTGACGCACTTCGTATATGCCCTGGAAAGAGGGTTTTGCAAATGTCGATAGAGCTGAGATTTTACATTCGCTCACCTGAAATTAGCCAATGTAAGTAAAAGTAAAAAAAACGTGAATGTCATGCGCAAACACGCTGAGACCATCAATGCTCTATACGCTTGAGAACCCAGTTTGTACGAATTCTGGATTCGAACTCAAAGCCACTTTGCAGTTCCGGGTGACAATGTTGGATGCGGAGACCCAGCAAATACCCCACTTCTCACGTCCTGCTCTATCCTGGTTTCCCCATCTAATCCAAAACTACATCCACGTATCTGCTCTTAGCCCCGATGCTACATAAGTGTTTAAATTCTGTCCCTTATCGTGGCCTTGATGATCATATAAACCCGTCGCCCGAGCATTCAACCTCGCGACGCTGCTGTGGTGCATCGGTTTAGGACCCGCGATTGAGAGTTCGCTGGAGCAATTGGATCTCCCGGCGTGGCAACTGAAACAACGGGGTAAAGTTTCTTCAAAATCTCCTCCCCGCCTCTTGTCAACCCACAAAGACAAATGGGTCGACCGCTGTTGGTTAATGGACAGGTCATGCGTGGTGGGGTAAAGTGGAGGTAATCCTGTCTCGGCCGGATACCCTCCAGCGAGGAGCTCTAGAGTTCCCTTGAGTGGAGGCCCTTTTGCCAGCAGTGGAACGAGCAGGAAATTGCAGGACTGCACCTTTATCTTTTCACCTTTTTATTCAACCTCGTTCCAATTCGGGTGCAAATCTTAAGCCGGGATTCTAACCCGAGCCGTAATCTTAGTTGCAATCCTGTTCCTATCGCCCCAGCCCTAACCCTTGCCCCTAACCCTTTCAAAATAACCCTCCACACATAGCCTTAGACACAACTACAGCCTAAGCCATTTCAATTTGCTGTTCCTTGTTCATTGAATTTGCTGAAAAGTCTGTTCTCCTGTTACACGATAACATGGGACTGTTTGCAGCCGACAGGATAGGAAAAAATTGATCGCAGGAATAACGCGGACCACTTATTATCCTTCTTTGACTAATTATCCAATAGGTGTTTGGTTACAGTGCCAAGTTTAGATAATTACAATAGGCCGAGAGGTTAAAGAAATGGGTTCTGCGTGCATTGTTACAGAAAATTTGTTGAGTTTTGAAAGTGCACCCAGGCCCGGTGCCGACGGATATGCCAGTTCAAGCACCAGGCGCTGGTTCGAGTGTTTTAATCTGAAGCTGCACAATCTACATGTTGGCATGCCATTTACAACCGCAGCCTCTTTGTCCATCCACTGCTTGATGAGGACCTCTGCATACTATACGGGGGTCTTGCGGTGGGGGGGGGGGTTATCTTGCCATACTTCACCATCTTCTTGGTTCTTTCGGTAAAGTCACGTAGAATGGAAATAATAAAATAATAAAAATAAAACGTAATAAAATAATTCTCACGACGTTT